GACCCGGAAGTACTTCTGGTCCACTTCTGGATCTGCTGCTGAGTGTCCAGCCCCCCCACCGCACTCCTGTGGGATGATCCATCTGCCCTACCATCTCAGCATTCATGAGCTGGGTCTAGTACCTTGAGGTATGTAGAAAAAACATATAAAGCTGCGTCTATGGGCGAATCGTTAAATCTCTCGATTTGGAGACGTAAATGGGTCTCCTGATTCGATTCGGATTCAGGGAGATTTGGCCACCGAATCGGGCTGAATCTCCTCTGAATTGAATCAGCAACCGAAGCTTCGCACATCCCTAATAGATAATCAGAATACATTGGGTGATAAACCTCCCAGCAACAGTAAAGCCATCAAAGAAAAGATTAAGTAGGATTTACTAATGCTGTCATTTGGGATAATGATTGTTATCTACTGATGCATAATATTATGGTTGAATGTTGTTTTCTGCCTGTTGATAACTGATTTTTAATGCTCTCACTTTTTCAGTTTTGCAAGCATGAAATTAACTTTTTAATGTGCATGTTATTAACCTGTTGTTAATTTCCACAGCTCCAGTACAGTTTTTTTTAATAGACTTAAAAAAGTATATTTTACACCTTGTCTTTAAACATCCTAGTGTCTTGTGTGTTAATTTTTTAGATTAATCGAGCCCCAAGCTTTGGAACAGATCAAAAAATAGACTATGATGTGAAAAAAGGAGTCCTGCTAAATGCATTAAAGCTTCTCAACATACGGTAAACCTGTATTCAAAAACCTTACTCTGGCTCTTTTTATGTTGGTTTTCCTACTTTGTTGGAATATTATAGGACATTTACTATAAAGGGAAATTTTGTTACCAGTTTTAAAATTGTGCGAAAGGCATAGCTTCTCTGTAGATCATTTTTACTGGTGTAACTGACCCAGTAAACTTCACTCCTCATTAGTGTGCATATCAAAAAGGTGGTGATGCTAGCCTTGATGCTAGCCTTTCCTTAGTCTTATTTTAATAATCTTTTTCACAGGTCTCACAGTAAGGATAATAAACTCTGGCTTGGGAAGGCTGTCACCATTCTAGTTTTCAGTGCACAACTCATTTGCAGTGGTGGCAGTATACACAACTACAGCCTGTTTCCACTAGCACCAAAACACAGAATGATGATAAACTTGAGAACAATGATATAGATGTAGTTTTTAAATCATTTTGATTTAAGGTCATCTTTGTACATTGGTTGGTAGCATGAGGTTTATACAAGAATATTTAAGGCTGAAGGTCTCTAAACCCTAAGAATTATTTATATTACATTATATGCTATAGCTACTACAGATTTTGTGTGTGTTTGTATGTATATATAGTATTATATTATAAAAATGTTGTATCCATAGCATATAATATTTGGCAGGAGAAAAGAGAGGTTTTTTATTACAGTGAGAATACCCATCAGCTCAAGTATCCTGTAACAGGTTATGACACAACAGCGTGTAGTAGGTTTTGATCTTGCACTTGGCTCTGAAAGGACAGATTCTTATTCCTGTCCAAAGTCCACACTGACTTTAATAGCACTCTGCACAGGCAGTAGGGTCGGACTGCCTGCTTGCCTGGAGTTCTTTTAAAACTGAGGGGGTTGACCTCAGGGACTATTTCCAACTGTGCAGATGCCGTTGAATGATATGGGCCATATACCATAAATGCACCAGACAAATATATTTAAAATATTTCATAAGAAGACTAACAATTTAGCTGCATTCACAGCAATGCAGTGCAGCCTTTAATTCTGTTTATAGGAAACTACCTTTTGGATTACTGAGTCAAATCTGAATGTTGTCTCTTTAGGCCAAGTGATAAAAGAAGAAACTTAGCTCAACAGAAAGCTGAGGCTCAAAAGAGACTTTATGGTCAAGGCTCAATGAAAAGACTATCACCAGGTTCCTCTGATTGGGAAAAACAGCGGCACACACTGGAAAGGAGAAAAGAAGAGTTGGTATAAAAGAATTTAACACAGCTACTTCTCTTCCTTCTTCAAGGATTGTAGTTCCTCAGTTTTAATTAATTGACTTTCTTCATTTCTAGAAAGAGAGACTTGCACAAGTACGTAAACAGATTTCCAAAGAAGAACATGAAAATAGACACATGGGGAACTACAGGTACTGTCTTTATCCAAGACTGGACAGCATTCAGTGTTTTATTTAGGGATAATGGAAATAAATATTGTGACTGGATGGTGTTCTTCTGATGAAGAATTTACAGTTGTGTTGTAGCAGTGGTTGTCCAGAGATTTTTTTTTCCAACAAACTATATAGCTGGGAAGGATGTTAGACAGGATTTTGGGTGCAAAATGCCCTTTTCCCAGTCTTCAGGATTTGAGATTCATCTGGGACTTGAAGGTAGACCTTCTGGGTTTAAAAGCCTGCCTAACATCTTTCCCAATTATAGGGGTGGTGTAGTAAAAGACCAGACAAATACTGTTTCTGAAAAAAGGCATGGGCATTTAGTTAAAATATTTAATATGTCCATCAGCTGAAAATTTTTACAGCAATTGCTCTTTGCATCTAAGGTATTTGCATCTATGCATTTACAAGTCTCAAGTCACTATGGTGTTCATGTACCAATGTCTTTATGTGAAAGTCTTGGTTATTTCTGTTGAATGCCTGTTGAATCATGACTGCAGGTAGTTTTGTTCCTGTACAAAGAACACTTAGACAAAACTCCTATTGTTAACAATTTGTACTCAGGAAAATGGGTAGTAATGATGATGAATCTCTACAAAAGGGGCACCAGGTATTTTTGCGTTGTAATAACAAAAGATAAACACTTTATTCTGGGGTTTATTATAATCTAGGCCAGCAGTATCCGACTCATTTGACCCAGCCTGCAGATAGGTGCTGCACTGTGCATGCAGCATGTAGGGTCAGCCTTGAGCAGGTGCTGCAGACAGCACATACCCTGGATTGGCTCCTCATGCCGTAGAGAGAGCACTGTGCTCATCTGTACCTCTGCCGCATGCACATGTGTGCACTCATCTGCCTCTGCGTGCTGGATTTGGGCAGATCTGGTACACGAGTCTAATACAGCGTGCTGCATTCAGCATGTAGGTCCATTCTGAGACCCACAGGCAGCATTATGAGCCGGACCATAGGGTTCCACAAACCTTAACTTTGACACCCCTGATCTAAACCAAGGGATCCCCATGCTTTAATGGCTCGCATGCAACCTTCTAAAAAATCCTGTTTGCAGTACTTCACGCAAGTTTTTCTATTCATGTGTACTTACCATAGGTTTTGTTAGCTTAACTTAAGTATATCTGGATTCTGAAGTGTGATTTCATGGATTTCAGTGCCTGCTGTGCAGTAGTAGAACACCTAAATTGCAGCCAGGCAAATTATCAAATAGACTCAACTGGACTGTTGTCAAGATCTGTAGAAGCATGTCAGCCATGGTTTGGTGATGCAGGCAGAGAGGAACTAGCAAAAAGGAGTCTTGGTCTCTTGCGGTGATAGAGATTATGGTACAACTTGAAGGGCCTGGCTGAGGAATAGGCAGCTGGCCCACTCTGTGCCCCTCTATCAAGGTTGGGCTGGTCTGTTTCCCATCAGTGAACTAGGTGCCTGTACTCTGGCATAACTAGATGCATTGTGGCGGCCCTGCTGAAGAGCCCATTTTACTGTCTGTGGTCAATGTGGGTCCCCAAAGATTCCAGCCATTGCCTTGATAAAAGTTTCAACCTGGTCAAGGTGGAGGTTTGAGGACTGTAAGAGTGCGGAGACCCAGGTCAGGCATCTCCAGTCAGGAGGCTGATTATCAACCTCACCCTGGCAGTGTCTGAAGCATACGTTTGGGAGCATAGCTAGAAAGCTGGGTGGCATTGATTCATGAAACCTGGAAACTATAGGGATTCTGATTAAATTTACCTGGTAGGGGAATCTTGGGTTCAGGGTTTGCTGGAGGGGCCAGATGAACAGTTGGACTGGGGTGGAGGGGGAGGAGAGGAGTGGGGCATGGTCTGCGCCTGCAGGTCTGTGATTTGGGATTGCAAAGATCTGCGTGAACAGAGGTTTGGGCCCTGAGATCTGACCTGGTAACTTGTTCATCCTGCTACCTCACCAGAATATTAATTGAGCTATACAAGCTATCAGGGTCCACGGAAGTGTTGGGTCTAGTGGTTAGTGCCTGGAGGATTTTACCAGCATCTGTATTGTGGGGTAGAGGAGAGCCGAAGTCAAACCAGGGTTCATGTGCTGGGCCAGAAGTTGATGTCAGGAAGTGAGCTGAAGTCAAAGTGGGGTTCTGAAGTTCAGGGACTGGGTACATGGGCAGGAATGCAGGAGCAGGCACCAGCCAGGTCACATGAACCAGAACTACTCACAGACTGAATCCAGTTTGTTGTGCAGCAGGGGCCAGGTGCTGCAAAAACTCCTTAAAAGCAGCCCTAGGACCAGTCAGCAGGCTGAGGGTCAGCTGGCCCTGTTTAGGGGGATGGGTGTTGCTGACCTGTTTGCTTGGCTACAGTGTAGAGGCCTTACAACTCTCGTAATTCAACTTGTTCATCCCAACCCAACTTCATTGCCGAGACTAGAGGGAATTCCTTATATGCTGTCTGCTTCTTAGGCCTATGGGGACCAGTTTGCAGGTTCTGCAGGGCCTGAGGTGCAGAGGGAACTCCTGCTCTGCAAAAGATTCCTGTGTGGAGGTCTTTTTTGATGTCAGGATTGCAAAGTTTGCAGCTGTTCTGAACCCAGCCCATAAGCATATGTCTTTGAGAGGTGTTCTGGCAGCATAATATAAAACTTTATCAATTTTGTTCTTGTCTGGCTTGGTGCATGCTGAAGCCTGGGTCTAAGAGAAAGCCAGCTCTGTGTCAGATAAGAGCATAGTGCCTATGTGCACAGCCACAGTCCTCAATGCACCACTAAGTAAAATCTGTATGTTGGTATAGTCAGTGAGTACTGTTCATCATTGCAGCTTAACGCTATTGAAAGAATTTTGTTTGTGTAGGTGTTTTCTGCTACTTTGCAGGGGATGCAATGACTTACAAAGAATTTTTTTTTGTGACGTACTTGGTACCATTGGCAGTATTCCATAGGCTAATTGGGGAACTTCTTGTCTTGGCAAATCACCTATGGTGTTAATCAAATCCTTCACAAGAAATCTTTGTTTTGCCAGAAATCTCTGCAGTTAATATTTGATAGTAACACCGTAAGGAAAAAAGGGCAACATTAACAGAACAACCCCTAGATTGAGGGAGTGGGAAAAGTGAATATTTTTGTCATTCTTGCATTATGCATAGTTCAGTTAGATACCAGACCCCAAATCTGGGAGAGGTTCCCTGATTCCAGGGTCCTGGTGCACTGGGGTTGTGCATATTTATTCATCTTTGGTTAAAACAAATATTTTATAAAATTATGGTAATTCCTCTTTTTCCAGCATTAGACACAACACTATAAAGAAGGGCAGTTGCTACTGCAGAGCTGTTTGACATTCTCTGTAGTGGCAGTAGTAGGTTTTGAACTTTTGGTTAAATTCTTGTCCTGTACATTTTATTGGGAAGGTTCTGGGAGATCTTATAGTCTGGCTGCAAGCCCATATTGTCATATTTCATTAATACTGTTACCTCTGCTAGCTAAATTAAAACTAATGTGGGTATACCTATGTTTGAGCTACAGTTGAACCTTCATTATGCTGCATAAATGAATCCTAAGTCTAGTGAGACTGTACCCATTTTTTTCTATTTAAGTGATGATCATAGCAAGAAATAACTTTCTGAGGTGAAAAAAACATTGTGAGGCAGAGAAAGGGAAAAGAACCTTATTGAAAATTCACAAAAGACCACTAAAATACACTAATTACATGAAGCTGGTGTATATAATCTATATGCCTCATATATCATGCTTATGTTAAACAGAATTAGCGTTTGGATAACTCCTTATGGTACATTAGAAATTAGTCACCAGCTTCCACAGTTTCTGGCTTCAGGTCTTCATGACAAATGGATTGGAGAGATATTTCTTGTAGAACCATTTGTTTCTTGATAAATGTGAATAAATCACTCAGCCCTGTTTTTCTATATTGTTCTAAAAACCCTACCTGGAAAATAATGCCATAGTTGCTGTAATGGAAAATCAGGGTCACTCCTTTACATTTTTGTGTTAGACCATACTTGCTAATGGTGAGTAGTCCTATACATAATGCTGAAAAGGCTATTGTAGAAATCTAACGCATATTAAAACTTTAATTTATAAACATGTCCAAAGAAAACTAAGTTCATTAGTCAGGTTTTTCAGTTCTTTTGTATCATTTGGTTTCTAAAACAATATATTTCACAGCACTAAATTTTGAATACAATATTTTGTTAATGTTTCATGCTTCCTTCACATCTGATGTTGAAATTTCAGTGAGTATTGAAAAATTGAGTCTTGATATTTTTGTAGAATCTGCACTGCTTTTTTAAAACCAGCCAGTTGCTTTTAAAACATGTATATGTACACTTAGGTAAAATTAGATTAGAGATTGTTGTTCAGAATATAGAATAAATTGCTATCTATGTAAGGAACTTTGTGACTTAGTTACAGTAATTATAGTCTGTGTATGGCGTATAGCTCAACTTCTGTGTTTCATTCTGTCTCCATTATATATATTTTTTGTAGGCGAATTTACCCTCCTGACGATAAGCTGTTACTTGAAAAATATGAGAGTTTGTTAGCCATTGCTTTCCAGACATTCTTAGCTGGGCGAGCAGCTTCACTTCAGCGAGAGATGAATAACCCTTTAAAAAGAATGAAGGTAATAGTTTGCAGAAGTATTGGTTTTAGTTAGATATCTTGGAAGTCTGTGACCTAGCATGAAGCTTGGGATCAATTACAAAATGACTCTTTAAATTTTTCCTTAGTTTTATTATTATTTTACATGCAAACAATAGACCAGATGCACTTATCTGACTGAATATCATTGGATACAAAACCCAGGGGAGAGAAAGAATAGATGACTTTAAGCTCCCTGTTTAACCTGTATGTGGAACCAGCATCTGATTCAGCCTAGGGCCAGCCCCCTTCCCCCCAAAAAACTCCAACCTCGTAGACTACTTTATTAGCTAGTAATTGTTGCTTTCTTGCTCTAATGGTATGTCCTAGCCTGCTCAGGAATACTCTTTGTGCTCTGGGTGGGAAAATACTTGTCACGGAGCTGATTCCAGTAGGTTTAAGATACCCAGGGATTCTCTGCCCTAGGGTAAATTCCTGGCTACTCAGTTATGTAGCTGAAAATAATGAGTGAGAGAAGAGATATTTTAAATCATGTCAGTTTGATCATTTTTAAAAGCATTGTTGAAATACTGAGAAATTACTTCAAATTTAAGGGAAATAATCTTTCCAACCTCGGCAGTCTAACAAGTTTGTGGCTCACTGTTCATTCACACAGCCATCATTAGCAAATTTATGAGCGTCAAATACAGCTTACAGATGGATAGCCGGCACTAGTTTAAGTGTAATCAGGTAGATAGCTAATTTGAGATGCATATATCACTTCCCAAAAATATACACATTTGCCAAAACAGTTGGCTTTTGGAAAAATGCGTATACCTCTATCTGTATGTAAGATAAGAGAGTATGGGTACAAACATACACAGTACTATTTTGGAATTTAGTGATGATTGATTCAGAAAACCAATTCAGAATGTCAGTATAAGCTCCTGCTAACCTTTGGAAAAAAGATTGAATACTGCTTTGTGTTAATAACAGATACATTCATGGTTGTAGGAAGAAGACATTTTGGATCTTCTGGAGCAATGTGAACTGGATGATGAAAAACTCATGGGAAAATCCAGCAGGCAACGAGGACCCAAGGTGTTTGATTGATGCCAAATGTATTTGTACCAAAGATACTTATACTAGGCAAACTGGTGGTTGGACCTGTGGCACATGCATATTTTTCCTTTACAGGCCATAGAGCTTAAGGTGAAAGATAAAGTCTCTGTGGTTCTTAGCTTTTCAGCAGACCCTGGCCCCTCAATCATGGGATCCCAGGGACTGCTTCAGTCAAAATGGTGTCTTTGTCATTACCTTTCCATTCACTGTACTTGAGCTTTAATGCCAGGGGCCAAAGCAGCTGGAGAAGCACAGGGTTGTGTCCTATCCTTTGCATTTATTGGGATTTTGAAGGTAGCTGTGTGGCCCATTCTGGGAAGGGACTAAAGCTAGGAATTATAAGGAGGAAGTTTTAGGAAGGGGTCTTTGCAAAAATTTTATCCCTCAGAGCCCTTCCCTAGGTTTTTGAGGACATGGGAAAAAGGATGATTTGAACCCAAGAAAAGACCTTCTGTCCACCTGCAGGTTTAATTGGCTGGAACATGGAATTCTTTACTTCCTTTCCTAAGTAGCTTTGAAGTGGTGGTGTGCTCTTGTGATAATTACTATGCTTTGCCCCAGAGGTTGCAAGCAAAGGACGTTTATACATGTGCTCTGGGAGTGTGGGGGGGGTGGGCACTTTAATCAGAGTGGCTCTGAGAGATTTTAAAGTATCTGGAGCATCTTGTGTATCAGTGACCATGTGCTTAAAAATGGTGGCAGGGGCACATTTTCTAAAGCTTGTTGAACAAGCTTTAGATAAAGCACTCCTGCTGCCATTTTTAAGTACGGGGATGCTATTACACGAGACTCTGGAGTCTGCTGGAGCGTGGTAATTATAACACTCCAGCTGGCTTGATTAATTGAATATCTGTTCTGATGTTCTGTAATTACAGTGTGTCAGACCAGCCTCATTACTCATGAGTAGGCGCCATAGTGGGTGGCATGATCCCTGATCTGTCTCAACTAGGTATTCTAAGCCTTAACTGATTTGTCTGTTTAAAGAACTTTGAATGAAAGGCCTTTTGGAAGTTTAAGGTATTAATTAAGATAATGTATGTTTGGCTTGTTAAACTGATAAAAGCATCATTGTTCAACATTCAAGAGCCTCTTCCATATCCAGGAACAGATTTTAGTGAAATCTGTATTAGTTTTAACATAGTTCACTCCAAACCTTTGCATTACATTTACTACATTTTTTCCACCAGCCACCAAAGAAAAATTACTGTATTATCAAATCTAAACTATTTCTTTGCCTACATATGGCAGTACTTTTAGGTCAGCATCTGTTGAGAAAAGGATTGGTTGTTTAACTCTTCTGGACTTATGTCTAAAGGAATATAAAACTTGTACAGCATTTTCTCTGTTCCCCAGAACATTTTGTGCAGATGTGGGAAAGCCTGTTTTACCTTACAAAATATCATACTGACTGTAGCCCTGACTATAGCACTGAGACTGCATACGGGTACATAAGTCCATATAGGTAGGTGAATCTATTTTCAAGGTTAGGAACTAAAAAAGGACCCTTGCGCAAACACTGACACGAATATTATTTCTGTAGGTAGCCCATTATTTTTATTTTAAATAGTGTTTTTTTCCAGTCATGCTACAAGTACATCTCTGCTCTGCTCCACTTTCAGTCCAACCTTCTTGAGCATGGGTGACCAGACTAGTACACAGTATTCCAAGTGAGGTCCTGCTAGGATCGTAAATGGCATTGATGCCTTCCTATTACCACTATTATAGGATCATAGGATGAGTCTGAGTCACCAGTCAGTTGTAACCTTGAAAAAGGCAAATGGAGTTCAAAAGTATATCAGGAGAGACCTCTTCTGTTGTTTCCAGCAGATGGGTTAGAATTCCTGCTTATAGCTTATATAGCTTATAGCAGGAATTCTTGTTCTCAGTCTCTAAACACATGGCCATGGACTATATACTATTACATTTCATCCTGTTCCTATTAGTCCAGTCCACAAAGCCACCCAATTTTTTCCATCAGTTTCTGTAATGATGATGCTTCCTACATTGTGAATCATCAGCAAATTTCATTAAGAGACTCCTATATTTTGTACCAAGTTTTGTTTAAGAAACTATTAAATAAGATCAGTGGTATGATTATTCTGTGTAGAACCCACAAATTACTTCCATGTAGCCTGAAAGTTTCTTTTTCAAGTGCATCCTGTTTATGGCTCTCCCCTTGGCTAGTTCATTGCCCACCCTGCAATTCTTATATTAATCCCCATCTTTTTCAGATTAACTAGTAATTTCCCACATAACACTGTATCTGACCTTTTTGGTACTTACAGAAGCTGTCAAAACTGATTTAGAAAATCTCTTAGACTGTTAACCTTACTATCTCAAGGGTTCAACTTCCAAAATGCCATCTTAGAACAACAGCAAAAAATATTGCTTATACCCATTAGAGGATTATTTGGTGTTCCTGTTACAGTCAACACTGGTCCCTATAATACACTTTCCCAAGCACAGAACTACAGTCAATGAAGTTATTTCTTCACTAGGCAGTGGGACTTAAAAACATTTAGTAACCCTATCGTAGGATAAATGGCCCTTTAAGCTTTAAAGCATTGTCTTTCCATCACTGCCCATAAAGTATGACAAAGGAAGATTCCTTTAGAGTATCCAGTGTAGCATCCACAGGACCTGATGAAGTGAAGGCTAAAACTCAAAAGAGACAACCCTTCCCACCCTTTTCAGGAAACCCCTGCTACATTAGGAGTTTCCTTCAGATAAGCATGATAGATGTTCTGAATCTTGCATAGGAGATTTCTTAACTATCAGATATAAAATGTACTTTATACATAAAAACGTTTACCATTCTTTAATGCGTTTTAGGAGCTCAAGAGAGAAAGTAGGCATTTTCAAATGCAGTACTATATAGCAGTTTGTTTTGGAGTTAGCCAGAACAAACTGCTGTACAGTATTATTGCACTTGAAAATGTTCTGGGACTGTAGTAGTGTTATTTAACACCTCTAGAGGGCAGCTCACACTTACATGTTGGAAGCTTTATTTCCTTATGTTTATTACATTCCACCTGTTCTATGTGCAGAACATTCACGTACAGATTTTTGAAAAAATACAAAACACAAGGATATTTTAGAGGAAATAAGTCATTACTAGCATTTTTCATTCATGTGGAATATAACCAAATGACTTTTAAATGATAAAATTTAGATGTACCATTTGGGGAAAAATTATAATGATCATAACTGCTAAACATTTGAACAGATTGTCAGGAGAAGTTGTGAAAAAGCATTTACTGCAGGTATTAAAGGCTAGAACTATTTCTTTATCATAGCTGGTTTAAGAATGCTGAAATCATTCCTGTGAAGCAGAGAAATGAGTTAGATGTCTGGTAAGAGGTCATTCTAAATTCAAATGAGTCTGTTGTTTGTCATCTGTGCCTTTTCTGTTTCTTGCAAATGCTTTTTATAGTTTCATAGTTTCTAGGGTCGGAAAGGACCTGAGCAGATCATCTAGTCCGACCCCCTGCCATGGCAGGAAAGAGTACTGGGGTCAAACGACCCCAGCAAGGTGTTCATCTAACCTCCTCTTAAAAACCCCCAGGGTAGGAGCCTGCACCACCTCTCTTGGAAGTTGGTTCCAGACCCTAGCCGCCCTGACC